TGTTTTGTGAGATGGAGGAGGACTTTGTGGATTGGTGTTGGACATATGGTATAATGTTGGACTTGTGGACTTGGGCAGCACTGGGTTGGGATGTTTTCTTGATGTGCACTTACCCCTTATCCCTATAACACCAAGAGCGATGTTTCATAATATTTAACTAAAACATTTCTGGAACCAAAATTATGAGGCTTTTGGAGTCGACGATGATGTCAATGAAATAGTTGCACTTTACTAGTACAAATGCATACTGCTAGGCCTGCATTTTAGTGACAAAATGCTTGAATAATGGCACATGTTTTGACCGATTGTGTGTCTGAGGTTAAGTGGTCATTGGCATTCAGTGCATTTTATGATAATTTTTAAAATAGTGAAGTTTTAGGGTTGATATTTTTAGCATATGTTCAGAAAGCTGTAGTTTTTTGTTAAAGGTGTAATACTTATGAAAAAACATTATATTTATTATATATTACCGCTTTTTCAAAACGTAATGACTTCATTACGTTTGTCTTTTGAATTGACAGTGACAAAAATTACCACAGCATGACGGTGATTTGTTTTATGGAAAACGGCGAATTTATGACCTAGGTAGAAGCGGTACAGACTCAGACAAGGAACCAGATGCTAATATGGATGAAATTGGTAAATAAAATGTGTATAATATTAAAATTTTTTGATTTTACAATATAAAATTTTAATTATATTGCTATTCAAACTATTTTGATAACAATATTTATTTTTTTCCCATGATAGGAAGTGAATATACACCCGATTATTCTGATTTGGATGAATTAGAAGACTTCATATTTAGTAATAATAATACTAGTGAAGATGAGTTAGAAATTTCAGTTGCTGAAGTTGAAGAATCAGTTCCAATAACTACAAGTTCAAAGCCATCTACATCAAGAAACCAAAGAATTCCTCTTTGGCGGCAATTTCTGGAGACAGTACAGCTAGACCTGTGCCTGAATGGTTAGGACAAATAGATTCTTCTGGGGTAGTAAAGCGTCCTGTTGAATATTTCAGACATTTTTTTCCCAAAGGATATCATTACCCATATTGTCAACCAATGAAATCTTTATGCAATCCAGCAAATTCCCAATAAACCTCTTGCACTTAGTAGCCAGAAACTTGAGCAATTTTTGGGTACACTGCTTGATTTGATAGACTCGCTAATTGCATTGTACAGAATTCACATCAGATCGAAAAAATATTGTTACAAAATATTTTTTCATTTTATAGATGTGATTGCTGTGAACTCTTGGCTACTTTATTGTAGAGACTGTGAGAACCTTCAGTTACAAAAAAAAAAAAAATCTACAGTCTGCAAGAGTTCAAAATGAGCATCGGTGAAGCTCTTCTTCTTGAAGGAAAAAGTAATAGACCAACAAAAGAGGCAGACCTTCTACCAGCTTTACTGATGCTGAGTTTGCAAACAAGAAGAGAAGAGGTCCTGCCACCAAATGTATCCCTGGAAGAGACACCCGTTTGGATGGTCCTCACCATTACCCTGAGGTCACAAACAGAGGAAGATGCAAACATGTAAATTGCAAGAGTGCACCAGTATTTTTCTGCAGAAAATGCAAAGTTCATCTTTGTATCACAAAATAAAAAAATTGTTTTGTTCAATTTCACACTAACTAAAATTATAAACAAATACATTTTGTATTATATTTTATAAATAAAACAAGGTTTCAGTTTGGTTTTTTATTTTATAATAAAATAGGATGAAAAATGAAGGTTAATTTTTTATTCTTGAATTAAAAATCCATGGACGAATGTGACAATTTGCTTACATTTTTTAAAAATTGCAAATTTTATATTTTAAATATATTTTGGTTGTTACATATATTAATAACTATGAAAGTAAAGAGTAAAAGCAAAAATTTTTTTCCCCTGGAATTAAAAATACAGGCATTATAGGGTTAAGTAAAATGCTCTCTTATACGTATGAGTTTCTGTGGATCTCTCTAATGTACCCGGACTAGCACACTATGATTCCATTAGATCACGGTTGGTTCCCAAGTCACTGATGGTTTGAACTCCAGCTTCGCTTGCAACCTACAAGCAGGGCCTTGGGCAGGTCGGCACTCCCTGCATGCCTCATCTGAACAATAGAGATAAGTGCACACCCTTATTGGAATCGAGATCAAATGTGAGAATGTCTGCAAAACATTTAGCGTGGTGTTTAACACTATTACCAATAGATATGAAAGTGAACTCTCATAGGAACACAGCATCTATTTTTCTACAAATCTATACTTATCAACTCCCAACACCAACAACTGAATTTCAGAACTGCATTCAGTCACTGGGCAGCATTGGCAAACTGAAGGAACAGAGGGACTCAAAGGGAACAAGACAGGGAAATGAATAGGGGCTGGAGAGGAGAGGCAGAAAGAAAAACCAAGAGGCACAGACAGCTTTTCACAGAACACTGAGCACTCCAGCTATGTGCATTCTATAGGAAAGCAAGTCTTTACCACCAAGGGTTGTGTACACTTTTGAAAAAGGCAGTCAAGTAAATAGAGCAAGATGGACTATAACAGAGGGTAGTACAAAGTTCTGAGGAGCCGCCAACCCTCCAGGAGGGGCTCAGGATTACTGAGTATGATAGGTAGGTTTATTGTGCCAACCTGGTCAATAGGAACATGTGGGATTAATAAGATTGCAGTTTGATTGGAGGGCAAAGAAATAAATGGCTCGGCAAGCCCCACCCCTCTCTTTCTTGCTCTCTGATGATTGGATCAGCATGTGGCTGCTAGGTCTTTGCCTCAACTCATGAGCTACACTACTCGTGGGACTGCTAACCTGTGGATCATGTCCCTAAAGCTTGAGGTTCCTTTGAGACCTGCTTTGCCATGCTGCTATTGTATACATCGCTTGAGCTTGGGACTGTTGGATCTTGTCGTCTTGCTGACTGTAGGTGACCCACCCTGCTGTTTGCTGCTTGTGACTGGACTACCTGCATTGCCCTGCTTCTTTGACCTCGGACCCAGTGGCCCTCGTGAATTGAAGGACTTCCAGTATATTAACTGTTCCACAGAAGTGAGTTGAACTGAGCTCTCTGTACTGCTATGTGGGATAATTAGCTGTTATATTCCTTTGTGCTCTATCTGTCTATCTATCTATCTATCAAATCATAAGTGTCCTGGTTTTGTTTCTCTAGAGAACCCTGTCTAACACACAGAGTTACAAGTGACTGTATGGAGTGCTGAAGAACATCTGGGATTTAGAAACCAAGAGAGCATATGCAGACTGAAATTTATGTATGTCTCATGGTGGCCAGTAGGCTTAAGGTATGAAATCTATTTATTTATTCCATCATACTCTGGCCTTTGTTGTGTACCATCTATATCTTGGGCACTACTCAAGGAATGGAGGATGCTACAGACAATTGGCCAAGTCCTCAGAAATCTTAAAAAACAATATGTATATTTTTTGCATGAAAACATACACAGAGCAGGTGCATGGGCACTAACTCACCCAAGGGGAGGGTATTGTTTATATCTCCACAGGAAAAGAGGGACCGGATGTCAACCCAGTGCTCCAAGGTGTGAATGCAACATGCCGGCGCGGAGTAGGGAGCCAGTGGAGAGGTCTGGGGGGCTGGCACCAGTCCCAAATACTAAGTGAATGCCTGCCCCTCCCCCGAGAAGAATTTATTTCAAAGGATGGCACTGAATTTGCAGCTCCGGGAGAGAGATGTATCTGATCTGAGCACACGGGAGCAGATGACGGGGGAGGAGGAGAGACTGGAGCACATCCTGGCCCACCAGGCCTTGAGGACGATG